AGAATGACCATCTTTCTCCTGTTCCACAGCTAGTGGGTTTGAACCACATGCTTTTGGATTGGCAGGGGAATTTCTTACCACACTGGTGGTCTAGTGGCAAGAAGCTGGACTGCAATCCTGAAGGCACACAGCTTGAAACCACTAGGTGGTCTGCAGAAGAAGGATGGATAATCTCCTCCAGTGCCTCTGAAAGCCCACTGGAGGGTCAGCTATGGGTCAGTTCTGACTCGATGGTACTCAACAGCAAGAAGCCACCAGAGCTCAGCTGTTTAGTGATGACGACATACACACAGCAAATGCCTGAAACTGACTCAGGACAGGGCAGGCTTCAGAGCTGCTGTACATAGTGTTGCTTTAAGTTACAGGGGATTTGACAGCACATAACAACAACAACAACAATAACAACGTACACACACATCAATGTTTTGTGTGTTTTTTTAAAAAATTTTTATTTTATTATTTTTGTGTGAGTGCACCATCAAATCAGATCTGACTGGTACAGGAGGAGATTGTCCCTCCTTCCCCGGCAGAGCATCTGGTGGATTCTAACCGTGAGCCTCTGGGATTGTAGTTGCAGCTCCTTACCACTAGGCCACCAGAGCTCCCCACACATTAATGTTTTAACAAAGTCTCAGCGCTCTATTTTTTGAGACTCATCCATGTCTAATATATTGCCCATTGCTTTTCAATTATGAATTGTCAGAATTATGTGGCATAATTCTCCAGGGTGCTCCGAAGTCTTTTCCACCACATTCCCATTATAGCTTCCTGTAAGAACAATATGTCTCTGTGTAAAATATAGCCACATGCATATTCTTACTTCAAAAAAGCTAGAATACTTTTCTCAATGGCTGTATCTGTCTCTACTCCCACACCAGGCCCACTATGACTACGCAGCCTGCATAGTTACAGTTAAGCTGTATTCCAAAGGAGAATAAAGAAAGAATTTTATGACACAGTTTTCTAAACATTGGCAGCTTCCTAAGTATAACCAAGTTAACCACTATGCATTCACCAGCTTGTCACATCGCAGTGGCTTTCGTGTTGCTATGATGATGTCACCAGTATTTGAGATACCTGAAAGGTGACTCATAGTGGACAAGATTTCAGTGGAACTTCGAGACCAAGACAAAGATGAACAGTGGCTTACTTCTGAAAGCTAGCCAATGGAACCCTTACAGCTCACAACAAAATGCTGCCTGATAAACTGCTGGAAGATAAGTCCTTTATCTGCAGGCTGTTAAAATACTCAGTGGCTGTCCCAACAGACTCTGACATACCAACAGCAATGGTGAAGATGGGAAGAATCAGACAACATGTAGTTTTGTTGTACATGGAGTCCCCATGAGTCATGTAGACTTGCTGTCAACTAACAACAAAAACACTAGTTATAACATGGTATTTTATTGTTTGCTTTGCATTTTGCTCATGACTATGGGAAGCCAAACTTTATACCAAAACCCTTGTTCAGGAATTGAAGGAATTACAGATTTATAAATTAGGATTTCTCTTGTGGCATATCCCAGAAAATGAGCTGTTTGCTCCCTGCAGCAGGAGAAAGGTAGGGCCCCCCTACAGAGGGAGTGTTACTTCCTATGAAATACTTCCTGAGATAGAGCATTATGTAGACAATAGAGAAAAATTCGCCTTCACTTACAAGGAATTCCTTTTGTTATTTGCTTCCCCAGATTATCAATATATACACAGAGAAACATGACTTGGGGTCTTCAGTTGAGAACTGCTGGCCCTCTGTTTTATGCTCTCTGCTCTATCTCATTCCTGGCTGTTTGTCTCATTATTAATAATTATAAAATTACCCCATCATTTAGGACCCTCGGTCTGCAACACATGACTAACAGGTATGAGTGTCTTCATATGCTTGCTGGCATTGTAGGATCATGTTATGGATTTAATTGTATCCTCCCCAAAATATGTCAACTTGGCTAGTCCATGATTTTCAAAACAAAACAAAACAAATCTACAAACCCCTCACAGTCATTGTCATTGAGATGGAACCAACTCATATCTGACCCTCTAGCAGGTTTTCAGAGCCTATAAATTGTGCAGAAGAAGATTGCCCATCTTTCTCCTCAAGGGTCTTTGGTGGATTTGAACCACAGCAAGGTTTGGCCTGTGGATTAACAGCACATCTCCCTGCAGACTAAGCCACTGGAGCATTATATCCTCATTCTCCCTTTTATGACCTGATGCAATTATCCTGTATCTTGTAAACCCTGACCTATATAATGTTAATGAGGCAGAATGCCATCTATAGGATCAGGTTGTACTGTGAGTCAATCTCCTTCAGAAAAAAAAGTATTGAAGAGATTAAACAAGCAAATAGAGATTAGAGTGACTCAGTGCCATGAAGGAACAAAAGCCAGGAGTGGAGCATATCCTTTGGACTCAAGTCTTTGCACTGAGAACTTCCTTGATTCTCGCAAGCATCAAGACACATGGAGATCTCGAAAGAATACAGCCCCACGATGGAAGAGAGAGGGGGAGACTTACCCCCTAGAGCTGGTGCCATGAATTCATACTCTTAGCCCCCAAACCAAGGGAATACGTGTCTGTCAAAGACATCAACATGTAGTGTGTCTGTTGTCACAGCCCTAGGTAACTAGGACAGACTATCTTTTTTTATCTGGTGTCTCTCACTATTTAAAGTAACCCTGCTTGTCATTTAATGCTTTGGCCATTAAGCAATGTCCCAAGCCTCGGAGCTTTTGCAATTGTGGCTCTCTTTTCTTTAGCCAGACTCCCTTTCTCCAAGTATTGAGACAATCCCTCAATTGACCCTGGGGTGAGACCATTTGCAATAATATATTGAGCTTATTAGCTTTTTAAAAAAACAATATATTTTATGTATGTCTGTAAATGTCACACTTATATATCCTTTTGTGTGGATTTTTAATGTATGCCCTTGGCTATTTATCTATTTGGGGTTTATTGTTCTGTTTTTGAGGTGCTTGTGGCTCTTTAGCTTTTAAGGTTTACCTGGCTGGCTTTGCCATGGTCCTTTTTTAGACTCTTATTGTTTGTGGTGTGGTGTTAGGTGCCAGCAAGTCAATTCCAACTCACAGTGACCCCATGTGACACAGTAGGCCTGTCCCCTAAGGTTTTCTTGACTAATATCTATGGAAGATTTCTTGCCAGTTTTTCTGACCTGGAGCTGCTGGGTGAGTTCGTACCACCAACTTTTATGTTAGTTAGCAGCTGAGCACTTAATCACTGAGCTACCAAGATTCCTTTTATCATTTGTAACCGTTGTCTATGGGAATGGCATTTCTTGAGTACTTTTCCTCAGGTCAGACACTGTCTTGCACTGTACATGTATGCTGCCATATTGACAAGGTGACACCTTATGATAGGAATGCCTTTAGAGGTGTGTAAGAAACCCACACTGACAAGCTCCCTCCTCTTTCTACCATTGCCCACGGCCCAGTATGAGAGAAGGCAGAAGGGGTCTCTTAGCCACAGATGTTCTCGTTCTCCACTTAATCATTTCTTCAACACAATCACCCCACAGCCAGCACTCCAACTTCTTCCTAATTGGAATATTTGTTCTTGCTTTGGGCTGTGGAAGCCTTTTTTTCCAAAGCATGTCTGCGCGCGCGCGCACACACACACACACACACACACACACACACACACACACACACAGAGAGAGAGAGAGACTTGTTGGGGGGAGAGAGGGACACACACAGGGAGAGAGAGCACGGGGAGAGAGGGGGGAGAGAGACAGGCATGCACGGGGAGAGCACAGGGAGAGGGAGACAGAGAGCGAGAGCGAGGGAGCGAGCGAGAGAGAGAGTGTGGAGGGGGAGAGGGGGATTAAATACTCCTGCAGACTCCCTCAGCAGAGCCCAGCTGATCCTTTTCTTTAATTGGCATCAATGTTTGATGGCTCTCCATTTCAGAAGCAACTCAGGTGTTCAAGTGCTTCCCGAGCCTGATACTTGTTTATTTTACTTTCCTAAACTTCACCTTCTCCATAAAGTTGACCCCAGAGAATATGAACTCCATCAAACACTGTTATCTTCATTTATGTGTCTCTGAAACATACATAATGCTCATTTTTAGTCATTTGTGAAGCTGTGCTCCTGTTACTACTTAGATTCCCAGGCTGATAATCAACTTGACAATTAAGGACTCTTAATTCTCTGATGTCCTGATTAAGAAGCTCTGGTGGCCTAGTTAGTTGTGGTGCTAAACCAAAGGCTGTATCTCTTTGATGGTTCGAATCTACCAGCAGCTCGCAGGGAGAAAGATGTGAAATCTCTAGTCTCAGAAGCCCAATGCAGTGTCAGCGGTGAGTAGGTTTTGACTCTAAGGCACAGAGTTTGAGGTTTTGTTTTTATTATCCTGACCAGGAACAACTGTTCGCACAGCAGATGCTTCTTTGGAGAGTTAACCTCAGTCACAACAATGTAAACACAAGCAAAACACGGATTCTGCTAGGTTCTGTTGAGTGCTTTGCTCTGTCATGGGAAACACCTTCAGTCACCAACAGCCTACACGAGAACTAGTTAAGCTAGATTCTAGACCAGGAAGAGGAAAGAAGGGATTTTGGAAATAAATTTTAAAATCTCCCCATTCATCAGGAAGCAGAGAAGAGCGCGGTTGCTGTTTCATTTTTACTGTTTCTGCTCATGTTATCAAGGTTTGAATAGTTTGGTAGGTTTTGTTTGTGATATATTAACCTTAAAATGCAATGGGGCCGTTTTTCTAATTGCACATAAATAATGTTGGTGTGAACAGTGCCCAAACCTGTAACTACATGACAGAGGAGAAAAAGATTTGAGCAGAAAATAAAGCAAGACATTTGGCTGTGGGGGGTGGGGGTGGATATTAAAATCTCCTGATCAAGGCAGTTAAAATCTTTCCTTCCACACTTCATTTCACCTGAGCCCACCCAACAGGTGCCAGAAAGAAAAAGAAACAAAACCCAAAAATCTTGTATGATTTTCATCTAGCTGACCCCCAAGTTAAAAATATACCTGCTTGCTTGGTGGTGGGAAATGGTGACTTTTCTCTTGGTTTTCATGGGTGGACACCGAAGCCATGGCGACCTTGGCTTTCCTTTTCTTCTGGTGGAGAGTACTCTGCTGGCAGATCAAGGTCTAAGGGAAGTAAAAGAAAATCATTGTGCTGTGACTGAACGCTTGTTTTGTTCAACACTGAAAACGTCTTCAGAACCCACTGCATCTATTTGGAAAGCAACCTTTCATTTTGTCATAGGTCTTAACCAGCAACCATCTGCAAATCTAATCTCTTTATTCCTTTTTATTGTCATTTGGGTGAAGGTTTACAGAGTAAACTGGTTTTGCATTCAGCAATTCATAAACGTTTTGTTTCATGTCATTCAGTACAGTCCTCACAATGTAACTCCCTTAATCCCACTTCTCTGGGTTTCTCAGTTCTCTTCCTGTTTCTTTCCTAACCCCTCCTGCCTCCTAAACTTTGCTCTTGCACAAAGCCTGCCCTTTTGATCTTGAATGGTTGATTGCTCAAAGGAGGGATGCTCGCCTTACAGACTGGTTCATGGTTTTTCTGAAAATTCAGATGTTCCGTTTCAGGACTGAAGGATGACTATAAATTTATTTCATTAGTCTCTCTTTGCTCCATAAGCCTCGTTCTTTTTTTTTTTTATTATTATTTTGAGCTTTCTTCTACATTTTCCTCCCTCTCTATCCAGGACCTTCTAAGGCAATCCCATTCAGAGCAGTTGGGGACAGTCTAGTCTCAGGGTCCTGTAGACCGAGGTTCTCACGGGCCTTAAGTCTTCTGGACTAATTTCCAAACTCAATCTCTAATACTTCCCCCTCATCAGCACACATGAATTAGCTCATTAACAAGAGCAAGTAAAATTTAAAGGCAAATGTCATTGCGAAGAGGGAGATGTTTGACTACCTAGCAATTGCCTTCTTGAAAAAAATGTTTCAGTTTATTAAAAAGTCATTAACTACAGAAATGCTTATTGCACATCTAATACTATGGCAATGGGGCAGATATGTCAGCGACAGAGAGGTTGACACAGGATAGGGGCAAGGTTCAGCCTATTGGTCAAGGGTCTCTATGAGTCGTAGTTGACTCTACAGCACATGACAACAGCAGCAGCAATATTATTGAATAGTAGACCAGGGAGTTCACAGAAACAAAACATAAAAAGTACTGCTTTAAATGAATTCATATTCTAAAGATGGAGTTAGATAAGTTAGAGATTACACAGAATGAAATGGGCTTCCCTAAAAGGTTAGTACTGTACTAGGTTGCTAAATGCAAGGTGAGAGGTTTGAAGCCACCAAAAGGTACCTTGGAAGAAAGGCCTGGCAATCTACTGGGGGAAATAGAGTCAGCCACTGAAACCACCACGAGCACAGTTCTGCTCTGACACACAAGCACACATCCGGATGCCAAGGGCTGCCATGAATCCAATAGACTTGATTGGAAGGAAGTACAAAGTGCCAAGGGGGAAAAAAAGGAAGGAATATCTCTATATTAAGTCAGGGTTGGGGTCAACAAAGACACTCTTTGGCTTTCATAAGGCTAGATGAGCCCCAGGGCAGGGGTTATTAAAGGGCCAGGTACTGAATCGGATTTCACTTTTAGGTATAAGCACCTAATGTTATTGTAGCGGCAGAATATGCTGCAGCACAGTGGAAAACCCTGGAGCCAGATGGGAATTCAAAGGCCAGCGGTTCTATTTGAACCCTGTGATATGGGGGCAAGGCACTGAATAATGTCTGAAGGCACCTTGGGAGACCTCTGGGGAGCCCATTTCATGTTGTGTGGCTGTCTCTTCCTCTTTAGGTTATATGTTCCTTTAAGACCGCGAGTTTGCCTTCATTTCCTTTAGGTCGCCTCTGTAAATATTTCCACAATTACTTTAAAATGAAATGGAAACTTTCCTGTTTTTCAAAGCAACTTTGCAGGGTGGCTGTTTGAGGATGGAGCAATAAAGGAAATCCCTCCAGCCCTCGATCTGCGTTGTGTTCACAGAGAGTGCGGGGGCAGTACAAGGCGCTGTGAGGTGGCCCCCGGGCGCTTGACTTCCCCGGGGTCCCCGGGAATCTTTGCTGACCTCCGGGGGCTGAGTTCGCTGGCGCAGCCCTTACCGCGCGTTATCCCCAACCAGCAAGCTGCCAGAACATCTCACTTGTATAGGGATCAGGTCCTTCGCACGCTTCTGAGGGCTTTGCTGGTTCCAGTTCCCTTTCCTTCCACGCCACGTTTGGGGTCCCTCTGTGGCTCCTTCAGGGGCGCAATGGGAGGAGCGCAACACCAAGGGGGACATGCGTGGGTTTGGGGACTCAGGACCCAACGCAGTGGAAGAAGGTCACCACACTTTCTAATCCTCCAGAAAGCCAGCGATCAGCCGGCTGAAATCCTCCGCTGTCCTCAATCAGGGGCCACCAGCCGGACCCCAAGCCCCCTACCTTAGTCAGGAGACCGTGAGGGGTCGGTCATCCCTGGGCAGAGGGGGAGGGTATGGAGGAAGCGATTGCAGGCGGCCCCTCCGAACCTGCACAGCCTTCAGAAGGGCCACCCTTGCTCGTGTCCTCCTCCCCGAGGACCCTGGAAGTTATGTGGACAGAGGAAGCTACCCCTTCTCTCCTTGGCCCCCCACTCCCCGCGTGTCACCCCCACAGCGCGCCTCCGCGGGGCTCACCTGCAGGACGCGGTTCCTGCCCAGCTCACTCCCTTCCTCTGCAGGCTGCAGCCTGGCCTTTTCCCCGCCTCCCCGGGCCTCCCCCCCCCCTCCCCTCCCCTCCCCCCGTCCAAGGTCCCCCCTCCGCGGCTTCCCTGGCAGTGGCGTCACTAAATTGGTGTCACTCAGTGTTGTAGCTCATGGTATCACTGTCCCCCCATCCCTTTCCATCCCAGATCTTACAGAATGCTTAGAAATGTCTGTTACCTATTTGAATCAGAGAATAGTATAAGATACAGTTCGAATTGCTTAAATGTAAGAGTTCTTAGATTATCTGAATACGATCAACACAATTGCTTAGTAAAGTCTTTTTACATTTAATTGCATCATCAATCACAGCGCTATTACTAACTGGAAGGAGTTTTCGTGTTTTGTGGGCTTCCCCTCCCACCCCCACCCCGCCCGTTTCCCTTCTTTCCCCTTAATTGCTACTTCATTCTCAAGGAAGTTATTGAGATAGGTTCATAACTAGTAATTAGCACAATATGGTAGCTAAAACACCAGAAAAGCTGGCAAACCCAGCAGCTGTAAAAATACCGACAGCATTGAGAACCAATGTGTGCTCGCAGCTTGCCGCTGAAACCACGTGCTTGGAAGCCTCACTGTCATTGGATAATAATGGGAGCTCGGACCCCAGGCATTAGAAGCTTCAAGGAATAAATTAGGGCACAGGTTTAGCTTTGTAGTTACATTGATGCATGTAATCTGGGTTTACAAAAATTGTTTTGTTGCTATTACTAACTATAGGGATAATTTAGTAAAAAATAATGTCTGCTGAGACACTGCACAAAAATTTTTTAGTCATTTTGATGTCACCTCCTCTGTCACCCAGTGTGTGATCTGAACCCACTAATTCTTCCTAGTGACGCTGGTGTTCTCCTTATGCACCCAGCTTCTTATCCCTCCTTTTCTAGATCCATCTCTTCACCTCAATATTTAGCATTTAATCACCTAAATCGATCAAGTGTGAACACACCCCCTCTTCTGCCCTATAGTCCGTTTCTCTAATGATTAATAGCCTCAAAACACTATGAAACCTGCCTCAGGTTAGAACCTTACTCTCCACTTCCAGGCTGGTCTGGACACCTTACAAATTTGATCACATTGTTGCTATTGTTGAGTGTCTACAACTCGAAGTGACCCTATGAACAATGGATCTAAACTTTGTCCCATCCTACGTCATCATCATCATCTCTGATATCTTTGATCCCATTATATAACCATTGTATCAATTCATCTTGTTGAGGGTCTTCCTCTTTTTTGCTGGCCCTCCAACTTTCCAAGTATGATGCCGACTTTCAAAGGACTGGCCCCTGCTAACAGCATGCCCACAGTACGTGAGATGAAGTTACACCATCCTTGCCTCTAAGCAGTACCCTGTTTGCACTTTCTCCAAAAAATATTTGTTCTTTTGTCAGAATATGGGGTATTCAGGACCCTTCTTTAACATGACCACTCAAAAGCATTGATTCTTCTTCTAATATCCTTAATCATCGTCCATCTTTCAGATGCACAGCAATTGAAAAGACCATGGCTTATGCACACCCATGTTTATGGCAGCTTTGTTCACAATAGCAAGGAATTGGAAACAACCTAAGTGCCCATCAACAAACGAATGGCTAGAGAAGCTGTGGTA